CATACACTCCACATCTGGTGGAAAATATGAATGCAAATCCATTTATACCAGCCAATATTGGTGACGAAACGTCTCATATAAGGCGACCTGGTGAGAATAGAATGTAGCACGATGTACGGTATGAGAGAATATACAGACGTGATACAAGGTAAGCACAACAGACAAGACATATGTAGTTTAAAACATAGACAAGACACTGCCATGATAGAAGACACAGGTTTAATTAAGACAATATACAGACAAAACACAAATGTCAAACAAGACATAATACAGACGACACTAGACACAAGTCACACATTACACAGAGGCCATACAAGACACAGACTTCAGACAGTGGTCAGATATGACACAGAGACATATGTATGCGACAACACACGGTGTAACACAAGACACTGTGACCACACCAGATACGTACATGGGAAAAGACACAGCCACCAGATAAGACAAGAACATGACACAAGACATCTAACAATACACAGATATGACACAAGACACAGACATCAGACAATTTTTTAAAATATTTAGATTAGTTTTAGTAAGGTTTTACAGCACTCGCAACTGCATACGGTCATATGATCGCCAAGGGGTGGATGTCAACACAGAAATCTAAAAGGGGAATCAGGCTTACTCTGCTCACCTCTCTAGCCTCAACAGCAGTCGACTATCAAAGCACCCCGGAAATAGCAGTTTACAAGAAAGTGACAAACATCAGACAATATTCATATAAGTGGCACAATACAAAGACATCAGGCAATATACATATAAATGACACAATACAAAAACATCAGACAATATACTTATAAATGACACAAGACACAGACATCAGACAATACACAGACATCAGACAATACACAAACATCAGACAAGACAAGTACAGGACACAAAATACACACATCAGCCAATACACATGTTATATGACACAAGACAGAGACATCAGGCCATATACAGATGTCAGACATCACAAGACACAGCCATAAGACAACATGATAAGGCACAGTTATCAAACAAAATACTGACACGACATAAGACACAGACATGTCAGAAGACACAGATAGGCACCAGACACATACACAACACAAGACACCGTTAAGACGGTACAGAGACACGGTTAAAGACACACTCACCGCACAAGACACATACATCAGACACTACAAGTCCTAGATAAGTCACAAGACACACACATCTGACACTATAAGTCCTATACAAGACACATACATCAGACACTAGTATACGTTATAAGTCCTAGACACGTCACAAGACATATACAGGAGACACTACTATAAGTCTTAGACAAGTCACAAGACACATACAATAGACACATTAACCCTATCCGTACATCGTGTTTTACTATCGTATCCAAACGACGTGGGGAACTCTGTGCCCCCACTTTCCAAAGAGGAAATTACTCGTTAATCCGATCCCTACACTTTGCATAGCAGTCTGTCAAAATGATTTATTTTTTTTATACTGAAAGTGTTAAAGAGATCTTCGAACTAGAAGTATTCTAAAATGTGAAAAATTTACCCAGGGGTACAAAATGACCCCAGGGCGTACGGATAGGGTTAAGTCCTAGACACGACACAAGACATTCCAAAATATCGGTTTTTTTACCTGCACAGACTGGTACCGACTGTGCCTGTCCTCCCTCTCTTTCTTCCGCTGCTTCTTGTGCTGAGACTTCTGTTTGGACTCTTCCATCGTGGCAGTCACAAGCTGCTGGTGCTGCTCTCTGAGAGCCTGAAGCTCCGCCACCCCTGCCGCCCCCGCCTCCAGCCTCGCCTGGGTACGCTCTGTGTCCTTCCGCTTCAAGATGGGCACGCGTAGATGACCCGGAAGTTCACTCATGGATCTACTTTTCCGTACAGGCGCGGCCATTTCCAGTGGTGGTGGTGCACCGATGATCTGGGGGTGACGTTGTCTCGCGAAAGGAACAGAGGATTTGCTCTCCTCTCTCGTCATGACCTTTCTAAATATGTTCACGGCTTATCGTTTATTATCCTCTAGGGTGATCGCTTCCATTGTCGTCTCTCTGATGTAATCTCGTGAAGACGAGCTCAAGAACCAGTGACGTCATTGTCCGTAAAAGAGAGCAGCCCGTGACGAGAATCAAAACTGAGAGGAAGGGGAAGAGGAAGGGGAAGAGGAAGAGTCATCTTCAGGGACACACGATTTCTTGGAAAACACAAGACTGCACAGAGTCGTTGATTTTGCAACAATTTGCAGAAGGAACCGGATCGAAACCCAGTTCTGACCAAGTCCAGCTGTCTATGTGATCTGCAGAGAAAAGAGTACACAAGAATAAACACACAATAGATAATATGCCTATTTAAGATGCGGGTTGGGGCGGGG